AAAAAAAATTCCTGCTCAGTTTAAAACTTCCCAACCTGTCCCAGATAAAGATTGATATGGTCTACATGTAATGGCCAGAGAACACTGTGCTGACTGTTCTTCGGTAAAACATTTTACTCTGACTCACAGTGCCCAGTAACTAGCATACCATCCAGGGGGAGTAGAAGTACTCCTAGCCCAGAAACTGGGATAAGCTCCAGCCTGAATTCGACCACTTAGCTTGTATGCAGACTTTGCCTTTGACCTTACATGTAACTAAATTCATAAACAATTATTAAATTATAAGAACTCAAGGAAACTGGCAGAGCTTTCTACCAAGTACTGGAGTTAATTCTTTTTAAACCCTGCCAAGCAAAGTAGAAGTGGTGGCAATTAGCCCAGGGATGTGCTCAGGACTGTTAAATTCATTACCTGAGAACAAACTAACCCAGGGTTTGAACCTAACTATGATCAGTCTAAGCAATCAATAAGCCACTACGCTGCCTGTTAATATACATGTATGTCTTGCCGGCTGTTAACTCACATGTTATCAAGTTTGTCCTCCAGTACATTCAACTTGTAGTAAGCTTTATGCTTAAAATAACCAGAGTGTAGCCGCCGGTCCAGCAAACCACGCCATTTGACATAAAGGATTCTAGAATCATACTTCACTGCGCTGTCTGCCTGCAAAATGTAGAATATAATTATAATTATCATATATAGGACAATATGTAAGCTATTGAGCTTACAGTCAAACCCATATTAAGAAGCCACACCTGAGGAAATGGGAGTACTGGTCACCTAATAGGGGTTTGTCAGGAATTAGCACATAGGGCTTCAGGTAGAAACATCAGTTTATTCAAATACAAACACAAAATGACATCAAGACAATAATGACATCGTGTGTTTGAACCAGACTGAAATACTTTTACAGTTTAACAACTTACCAGGGCAGTGCCCAGAATTAGAAGAGAGGAAGCTATTACAATACTCTTAAAGCTTGCTTTGTCACTGTCGAGAAGTATTTCATAAAATCTACTTGGAATCAATCCAGTGTTGTACACCAGCATTTGCTCTATACACAAAATAAATGGAGGACAGTTACATCATTTGTTAGTTTAATAAACCCACAAGAAGGAATTAAACAGGTCCATGAGCAACTGACCCTGTCTGAGAGTAGACATCAGACAGCATTTTCAAAACTTTTCCCCCAAAGAAACAATTTACACCCTGCTATACGGAATTATGTCACAAAATTATGCTGACCACACCGTGGGGCATTTGGAACTGACAGAGCCATTTCATATGCTTGAATGGAATTTAATTAAAAAAAAATACATATATAGCAACCATAAAAGCAACAGGTTGAGATAGAAAACATGTGTGGGATGGTAAATGGATTTTGGTGTCTGGACATGGTCTGGTATGGCTGAGAGTTTTAAACTCCTTGTGGTGCACACCCCCCACACAAAGCTTCACAAGGCTGACCATCCCTACCCCCTCCCACCCCTGTCTGTGCGCGCGCGTGCGCGCGTTCGCCGTCCCCGTTACTTCCGGGGGTTCAAGCTACCTACATGAGATAATTATGCCGTCAGATGAGGACACAACGCGATCACAATTGAATTTAACTTTTGCATTACGTAATTTCGGCTTAAAATACCTGCCAAAGAAAGCCCCATTAACAGAACAAGGAGCAGAGAGCTTGTGGACAAACAGCTCGGGAACATGACCTTGCAACATCGCCAAAATCTTTTCAAAAACAAGCGATCCAACTTGTATTTGCTCGGAGGGCTGAAACGAAATAAAA